CTTCTCAGAAACCTAAGCCAAAGCTGAAAGTGAATCTCTCACCCAAGGCTTCCAAATACTCAGTTGTTCCCCCTCGAACAAATGAGAAAGGAATCATGGAGCTTGTCCTTCTTCAATTCTCTCAGACCATTCTGGTCCTAAAGCAACTTTCAGCTATAGGAAGTCTAGACACTGCGGTGAAACTACACATATTGCCAGCAAGTGTCCTTCAACTACCAAATCTGGTCTGCCAGCTAAGGTAAAGAAATTAGCCAAGGCTGAAAAATCAATCAAGGTGAAATTTGCCACCAAAGTTGTAAAAACAACTAAGATGAAGAATCCCACTGAAGCCTTTTCTTCAGGCTCAGTAAAGACACCTGCTTACCCTGAGTCTTTAGCGTCAGTAGATGTCGCCTCTAACTCCGCTGGACCCATTGAGAGATGGGTACCAAAGCAATATTAATCTGTTTTCTTTTACACGAAGTCAAAGACATTTGGTATCTCGATAGTGGATGCTTAAGATATACGACTAGAGATAAATCCCTGCTAAATGACTACAATAATGAAAGAGGCCCTTCCGTGACATTTGGAGGAAACAAAAAAGGATATACCAAGGGTTTGGTATATTTAACCAATGGTGCAACCACTTTCAAGCGTGTTGCATATGTTGAAGGACTGAAACACAATCTTCTTAGCATCAGTCAGCTATGTGATAAAGATTTCACAGTGAAATTTTTTCAGAGTTCATGTTATGTTTTTGACAAAGATGACAAGCTTGCTCTTATAGGTTCCAGTGTAGAGAATGTGTATGTCATCAACATGGACTCTCCCTTCACTGAGGTTAGTTGTTTTCTCTTTAAAGCCTCTTTACATATCAACTGGATATGGCATAAACGGCTCTCTCATCTCAACTTCAATACGTTAAATGAGTTATCTTGAAAGGATATTGTCACAAGCCTTCCTCAACACTCCTTTGCAAAGGAATATATTTGCTCAACGTGTGAAAAATGAAAGCAGACAAAGACAAGTTTTAAATCTAAGCAAGTCTCTTCAGTGACTTCTCATCTTCAACTTTTGCACATGGATTTATTTGGTCCAGTCAACATACAATCTATTGCTAGAAAGAAATGTACACTTGTCATTATTGATGAGTATTCCAGGTATACTTGGGTCTTTTTTCTCAGATCTAAGAGTGATGCACCTGAAGAAATCATCTCGTTCTTCAAACGGATAGAAGTGTTGAACAACATCATGTACAATCTATCATAAGTGATCATGGAACTAAATTAAAAAATAGTACCATTGATAATTTCTTTATGAACAAAGGAATCTCACACAATTTCTCAGTTGCAAGAACTCCACAACAGAATGAGGTCACTGAAAGAAGAAATTGAACAATCATTGAGGCTGCTTGATCAATGCTCAACGAATCTCATCTCCCTACTTAATTCTGGACTAAAGCTGTTAGCCTGCTTGTTATACTCAGAATGGTCGCTGATTGTCAAGAGATTCAAGAGACAGCTTACAAACTTTTCCATAGTAGAAAGCCTTCTATTAGCTTTCTTCACATATTTGGTTGTACTTGTTACATTATTGACAATAGAGACAAACTTGAAAAGTTTGATTCCAAAGCTGATGCAAGAATCTTCCTTGGAATTTTTTCAGTATCCAAAGCCTTCATAGTATTCAACAAAAGAAGACAAACTATAGAAGAATCTATCCAGCTTTGAAGATGATGAAGAGTTAGACAACTAGATGATATCTCATTATGGACAACCTAAAGCTTCCTTCAACAATCAACCAAGCGCTGATTCACAAGAAGCTGATGATGATCCAATTATCATTCCAAATGTGACTAATAATGAAGCTGAATCCTCTTCAGGGATAGCTGTTGTTCCTATTGGTCACTTACCTCCTTCTACTTCAAACACTAACCCTCTAGTCGCTGAAAATTCTTCAGTTTCTGAACCTCTATCAGTTGCTGAATCGCTTATTGAGGCTTATTTAGCAATCCAACCTATTGATGAAGAATATGTTGTTGAAGCCTCATTTTATATGTCTGAGCTTCTAATCTCAGATGATAATCCTCTACCAACTCTTGGATGGATGAAAGACCATCCGATATATCAAATTCTTGGTGATCCAAGTGCAGGTATTCAGACACGACGTGGTCTAGGTAATATTTATCTCTTTGTCAACTTTCTTTCTTTAATTGAGCCCAAGAAGATCAATGAGGCTATCACTGACCCTAGTTGGGTCAATCCTATGCAAGACGAACTCATTGAGTTTGATAGGAACCAAGTTTGGTACCTTGTTCCGCGTCCATCTGACAAAATTGTAATAGGCACCAAGTGGGTTTATCACAATAAGTTAGATGAACAAGGAATTATGACCCGAAACAAGGCTCTTCTTGTTGCTCAAGGTTACAAGCAAGAAGAAGAGATCGACTACGATGAAACCTTCACACCAGTGGCTAAACTCGAAGTTATTCGACTCTTTCTAGCTTTTGCTGCCCATAGAGACTTCAAAGTATTTCAAATGGATGTAAATAGCGCTTTTCTAAATAAAAAGCTTCAAGAGGAAGTTTATGTTGAACAATGATATATGTTGAGAATTCAATATATAAAGCACTCGTTTTACGTATTATTAGTTAAAATAGTTTCCTTTCATTCCCACTTTGAGTCATTTTTATTAGTTTCTTTATACCTTTGTTATTATGGAGCTAAATATTGTGGTCAACTTGTTGGTACTCAAAGAAAGAAGCTAATGGAGATTTTTTGCTTAACAACTTGATGCTACAGCATTAGAGCAACGGTGACTTGATACGTGCATGGCTTTGTGAAGAACTTAATGATTAAGCAGTTGCCTTTTTGATGTTTTATGGATGACAGCTGGAAATGGCTGGAGGATGATTAAAAATTTAGGATTTAGACTTTTTAATATTTACTTGTACTTTAGATACTCTTGTTTAATTTTTGGGTATTAACCTTTGGATAAAACTTTTGTTGTTTTGTGCCTCCTTTGTGTATAAAAGGAGGTGCTTGGCTCTTCATTTTGACACACCATCTAATACCAATTCAAAGATTAAAATCAGCTCTCAAAGGCTGATTTATGAGAACCTTTTGGAAGAAATACAAAGTTCTTAGTTCCTAGCTTTTCATCTTTAATTTCTTATCTTTTTATTTTTGTTCTTTACTTTATGTTCCTTTACGTTTATTGTCACTTACATTCTGTTATTTAATTTCCACAATTTACTTTCTCGTCATTTATTTTCCGTTATTTACATTTATGTCTTTACTTTCCGTCATTTATTTTAATTGTCATTTACTTTCCGTTATGAGTAGCTAAGCTTTTATAGCTTGGGTGTGAGATAGAAAGGTGAGATTTTCAAACCAAAATAAAGTAGCCAAGTGTTTTCACAAACGACGTTCCATTATTTCATTCGAGTTTTTATAAAAAACCAAGCACACTTTTTGATGGGTTGATCACTTTGAAAGTGTTAAAGTGCCATGGACTTAGAGATAAGCCATTGAATGCACGTCAACTTGAATGATATAAGAGGTAGACTTGATAAAGTTGCCGACAAGGAGACTTGTCATTTATGTCTTTCAAACTTAACTCTCGATGGGTTGGTCACTCTTTAAAAGTGTCAAAATATGATAGATTCAGAGATGAACTATATAGAACACACGGCAACTCGAATGATATGTGAATCGACTTGAGAGAGTAATTTTTAACAAAGAGATTTGTTTATCTATATATTTTGAAGACACCATTTTGTCACTATCCCTGGTCCGGATACCACATAGAGATATGAGTTGAAAACTATAATATAATGTAATGGTGAAGTCCGAGAGGAATACCTTCAAAATAGATGGTGGAACTAAGTTTTGAAACACTGCTTGCTGTAGCATTCCTACAACATTGGCTACTAGAATTTGTGTTTGGGTCTCACCACAAGTCTTACACCCTTGCTATCTTTATATATTTTGTAATCTGTTTTAAATCACCTTAATATCAAACAAAAGTCTTCAAATTCATCATCTGAAATCATCTCTTTCATTTAACTCTCATTTAACTTTTGCTACAATCTCCGTGGACGATAATCCGGTACTTGTACCACTTTATTACTTGGAAAGACGACATTGAACCGTATTGTATACTTGCTTTGTGTCCCAATTCCTTTGTCTAAAGATGTGCGATATAACCGACCAAACAACCTCTAGGATTTCTTGACCCCAAGTATCCAATCATGTCTTTAGATTGGATAAAACTCTTTACGGGTTAAAATATACCCCTCGTGCCTGGTATGATACCCTCTCCTCATTTTCTCATCTCTGAGAAATTCGTTCGTGGAAAGATTGACCAGACCTTGTTTCTTAGGAATGTTAAAGGTCACATCATTCTAGTCTAAATTTATGTTGATGATATAATTTTTGGTTTCACTAATCCCTCTTTATATTTTCGGTTCGTTGAACATATGAAGAACGTATGATACCCTATCAAGGAAGACCACTCTTTACCGTCCGAGTTCATTGATGTTGTTAAGGCAAGTGATGAGTGGTCTCAGTGGTCTCACATGATGCCAAATAACATTAAACAACATTTATGGGTAATCTGGTCATTTTAACAGTTTTGTCATGTTCTGTCCAGCTTATCAAACGCATGACAGACAATTAGTCCAGTCTTGTTCTAGTCGACCAAATGTAGGACAGAACAATTAGTCTTGTCCCATCCGGTCTGTGTACTAAACGATACCTTAAGATCATTTTATATTGTTATTTAATTTATTAACCAGTTTTATAAAAAAAAAGGTATTAGTTTATTAGTTAACAACTAAGTTATTAAATAGACTATCAATCAAGCAACTCAAACAGTCTTTGATGGGTAAGTTGAGGACCATTTTTGACAAAGTGATAAAGTGAGAGGACTGTTTATCCAATTAAACCGCCTCATTCATAAGGTTTTCTTCGAATCACAGAACAGAAAGAAGCAAACAACAACAATGGCGTCTGTCAGCATCCTGTGAGGTATACTCTTTCCCACCAAGTCCCACCACCACCGGATGCTTTAATAAATCAAATGGAGCCAGAATGATCGACATATAAAACCCTCTCTCTCACACACACCATACCAAAATACACGCACTACTGTCATTGAAAACGATTCTCAGTGTCATTCGTAGTATTCATGAGTTGTCACCATCATCAATCAAACAAAACCCATCATTTTTTCTAAGGTTTTTGTGCTTAGAAATTGTTAAAATTCACCCTTCTCTGGTCAGATTTTTTCAGAGAACATGACGGTGCCGGAAGGTCAACAACAAAGGCACCGTCCTCGCGGTGGAGCCGCCGTTACTCCGGTGGAAACTCCAACTAGAGTTCCACTCCGAGTACTTCTCCGTGTGGCATCTGTAGCGTGTGGTATACAATTTGGGTGGGCCTTACAGCTCTCTCTATTAACTCCATACGTACAAGAACTCGGAATCCCTCACGCCTGGTCAAGCATCATATGGCTTTGTGGCCCTTTATCTGGCTTCTTCGTTCAGCCCCTCGCCGGCCACATGAGCGATCGTTCTACAAGCAAGTACGGTCGCCGCCGACCGTTTATTGTCATCGGATGCGCTTCCATCATCGTGTCTGTACTCTTGATCGGTTTCGCAGCGGATATTGGGGGATTGCTTGGAGATGGTGAGAAGAAAACGAGAGCAATCGTTGTTTTCGTGATAGGGTTTTGGTTTCTTGATATGGCCAACAATGCAACTCAAGGTCCCTGTAGAGCTCTGCTCGCTGATCTCACTGGTAAAATTCTTGTTTCAATTCCACTTTTCGATTCAAATTCAATTGTTTAGGGGTTTCACTTTGTATAATTGATTCAATTCGCTTTCCATCATTTGCACCCGTTTCAAAATTGTAGTTTCATTTTCTTGATAGTTAAAAACCCTAGCAAGAAAACGATCATGAGCAGGTGATTGCGATAATTCCCATTGTTCAATTTGACAACTTTTTATCTGGGGATTCAAACTAAGATGATCCATAACCCATAAATTACCACCAGAGATTATCAGTTTAATCTTTTGTTACTGGTAAGACTGTTTTTTCCTTTTCTTGATCCATAAATTGATCTTTTGTTACTAGAGATAGATTGCTTGTAATTTTACTTGAATGGTTCATTTATTGAATCTTTTTCTACCAGTATGAACGGGCCAAGCCTCAAACTCATATTAGTCCATAGAAACTGAGCCTATATGAACCAAGATTGAAGGGTTGAGATGGTACCAGTCCATAGGAACAGAGCCTATATGAACCAAGATCGAAGGGTGGAGCAGTCCATAGGAACAGAGCTTATGAACCAAGTTTGAAGGGTCGATCCTAAAGACCATGGATGCTTATGTGGGTGTGCCTTCATTAGGCATAGATGTGAGATAACCACAACTTGTTGTGACCTTAGACAAAGTTACATCAAGAAATGGGGTATGGGTCCATCTTGAACTACATGCTTTCATATTGTGGACCTTGTGGTCAATCTTGCATTTTGATATCACGGACTTCATTCATCCATGAGTCATAATCATGTTACTATCTATCAATCAGCCACTGTTTTCTTTTGGAAGTTCTGTTATGCAGCGTTTAAGGTGACGTATGACTCAAACACAGATTGGTGAAAGTGCCACTTTGCTCAACTGGCAAATAAAGGCCAGGCCTTGGGTCTCCTCCCCATAGGTCGCCGATTCAAGTATCCTCAGTGCCACTGGTGATTTTCCGGCTCTTATCTTCAAGGCCCTATGGAATTAGTCGAGGTGTGTGCAAGCTGGTCCGGACACCCACGGTTACCAAAAAGTAACTAAAACTATCTTAAATCCAAGCAATGAAGTTGAAGAGGCTAACTGTAGTATTGTTAAGTTTAGACAAATTTTCCCTTTGATGGACACACCTTGTGAACTTGGGGTGATGTTAGGATGTGCTGGCTTATGCGTAATTTGGATTTTCATTGCATTTGATAGTTGTATTCTGAGGGTGATGCTCCTAGTCTAAGCTGGTTTTCCTTCATGTTTCTATTTGCTTTTTCTTTATTATTTTATAAAAACCTTGAGGCTCCTCCCCATAGGTTGCCACTTCGAGTCTCCTTAGGGCCATTGGGGATTTTTCTGATTGTTATCTTCAAGGCCCCATGGGATTAGTCGAGGTGCATGCAAGTAGGTCCGCACACCTACAGTTACCAATTTATTTTTATCATACATCATTGTAGTTAGTTAAACTTATTTGAAGGAGTAGATAGTCAACCAAGTCAATAGGTGAAACCTGTAAAACATAGATGGATCTGGAACCGTTTAGTAAAGGTGGTAAATGGGCAAGTCAGGTTGGATTGGATAATGGGTCGAACCGAGTAAGGGGCCAATTGCGTAAAAATGGTTGCTTATCTTACAATTGGTTTAAATGGATTGCTCATCAATCGGGTTGGGTTGACTCGTTGAACCCCTTTTACCTGGTTTATCAATTTTCGTTGCATAAATGGTATATTTAATACATAGCATTATAATAAATAGAATTAGGCAATATAAAAATAAACAAGAATATGAAATTAAAGTATTGAATTATTTTTAATTAACCAAGTGATTAAGATATATAGAATGATAAGGACATTAACCTTATAATATTTGCTAACTGTTTTAAGTTCTATTTTATTGTTATTATTTATTTGAAAGGATTCTTTTCAACATTAAAATATTATTTTTCCAAGAATAAATTTGTAAAAAATACAGCATGCATTAAAAAAAATATCCCATTTTTTATGTGAAGATTTTTAGAAACTACAACTTTTAATTCAAAATTAACATCGAGTGTTGGTTTCAAACATATGATTGTCGTACCACATTAACCCCAGCTGCCCGAACCCTATAATAATTGGAAATTTGCTACACCAAACCCTTGTGTAGCAACTAGAAAGTACATCCATGCTTGTGAGTACGAGCAACTAGAAAAATAGTTTCAACAATTCTCTTTTCAGGATAGCCGCAAAATAATTGCAACATTTCCTTTTCATATGTGGTCGTTACAAAACGTTAATAGCATTGATCTTGGTCAATCCTCTTTTCTGTCATAATCTTTAGGCATTTTAGATGTTTAACTAATAGTAAAAAAATATGCGCCTGAACAATGTTGCATCTACGGTGAGAAGATGGAAGTGTTATCCAGGGCTGGTTCAAATGAGAACTGTAAATATGTTAGAGAGCCAGGGAACCAACTATTTCATGCATTACTCATGATGAGTAACCCTCGGTAATTATGAATATTGTTCATTATGAATATCATGCATTTTTATTATTCATGATGTGCATTTTTATCTTGAATATCATGTACTTCCATTATAAATAATTTTCATCATGAGTATTATCACGACATTCATCATTTAAACTTTTCATTATCCACGATCATTCGTCATGAATAATACATGAAATAGTTGGTTTTCTGGTTCTCAATATATTTACGGTTCTCATTTGAACTCACCCTAGTGTTACTTATGTTAAAATAACTAGCTATAAATAGCACCTTAGTTTGGTATGGTTCTGATAACCATATCTTCTATTATATTTTTAATCAGGGAACGACCACCGAAGAACTCGAGTTGCAAATGCATACTTCTCCCTATTTATGGCTATTGGTAATGTTCTCGGCTATGCAACCGGAGCTTACAGTGGCTGGTTCAAAGTTCTTCCTTTTACCCTCAACTCTTCATGTGACATCAATTGTGCCAACCTCAAATCTGCGTTCCTTATTGACGTTATTTTCATCATCTGCACTACGTACATAAGCGTCACTGCAATTCACGAGCAACCTATAAGTTCTATTCATGACGTTAATTCTGAAGCTTCGAGTCACCCCCAAGAAGCTTTTTTCTGGGAAATGTTTGGGACGTTTAAGTACCTTCCAAATCCCGTATGGTTGATCCTTTTCGTTACTTCTTTAACTTGGATCGGCTGGTTTCCCTTTATTCTCTTTGATACTGATTGGATGGGTCGGGAAATTTATGGTGGTGATCCCACTGGTGACCAGAAGTATAGTGATGGAGTTAGAATGGGGTCATTTGGTCTAATGATGAACTCGGTGATTCTTGGAATAACTTCGGTGCTTATGGAAAGTCTCTGTCGGCGATGGGGGTCGGGTTTCATATGGGGGATCTCGAACATTATTATGTTTTTATGTTTTCTAGCGATGCTCGTGCTTTCGTTTGTGGCAAGCAAAGCAGACTACGGCAGTGATGGTGTACCTCCAAATGGAATTGTGATTGCTGCGCTGGTTATTTTTGCAATTCTTGGCATGCCGTTAGCTGTAAGATGCTCTCTTTCGCTAAAAATGTACTTTTTTCTGATGTGACTTTGCAGAAAATAGTAGCTCAAGATGGGGGTCTTCATGAGCCTCAGTTGCTGAAAAGAACTTTTTCTTGCAAACTACTACTCCCTCTGTCCCAAAGTAAATGTACACAATGAAAAATGCAACACAGTTTTTGGAATTTTTAATTATTACATTCTTTAATTAACTAAAACACCATTTTACGCTTAATAAAATATAGAGATTTTCTCCATCTCATAACCAAGGGTAGAATGGAAAAGTAGATACTTTTGAAATTGGACACTTATTTTGGGATAAACTAAAATAGAAATGTCGACATTTATATCGGGACGGAGGGAGCATCTTTTTGCCATTTTAGCAAGAGTGATGGTTAATTGGAATTTGGAAGGGAAAAGTGAAGCACCATGGTTGGAAATGTCAATTTTTGAGATGGCTATAAGTTGTTACCAAAACCCTATATATACATGTGTATATATACATATAGAGGGAGGATGAAACGAGAACATGGTCAAAATAAGAAAACAGGAAATGGGCCTTATCACGTGGTATTGCACTGAAATCACAAGTGATTATGGAACATAGTCAACACAAGGGGTGAATGGGCGACTTGGCCCGCGACCTCAGGTCGCAGCCAAAGTTGCATGTGAATTTACACGTGATTCTAGTCTAAAATCATATGTGATATGGCCGTTCTCGTGTTCTCTTATTTGGTCACCATTCTCGTTTCAACCCAACTCTCTCTCTCCCTCCCCCCATCTATTGGGGCATGTTCAAATGAGAACTGTAAATGTTTTAAAAACTGGGAACCAACTTTTTCGTGAAATATCCATGATGTGGCCTTGCAAGAACTACTTTGAACCTGACAAGTTTTTTTGTGTGACCATGATGCAGGTTACATATAGTGTTCCGTACGCATTGGTATCCTCGCGTATTGAGTCACTAGGACTCGGCCAAGGTGGGTTCCTTAATTATTTTAAGGTTCTTTCATCTTTCTTATTCGTAGTCTCCATCTCTGTTCACAAGTAGGCAAAGTTCCTAAATATATGCTCTGTTTCAGGGTTGTCAATGGGTGTTCTAAACGTGTCCATTGTGATCCCACAGGTATGTTCTTCTAACAACTCCTCCCATATGGATAGAAGCTTACATTTGTAAGCTCCTCGTAAACTCAAAGTTGTATGCTACCAATAACTTCTACCATGGTTTTTAGTGAGGTTATTGGGCCAGCCTAAAACTTGTTATTAATAAACTGTCCTATAAAAAAAACGTATGACACATACTTACTTGGTCCTATAAAACAGGCTACTACGATATTTAAACACATTTGTTAAAGCTGATGTTGTAGTGAGTCTACAACCTCTTAATCCTACCTCTAAAGCATTGCATTGCATGCTACCCAACGTTCATTCGCTGTTTACTAGAAGTTGTGGTTTATATAAACACTTGAATTTTATCGGGTTTTATGTGTTGGACAGGTTTTGGTCTCTCTTGGAAGTGGACCATGGGACCAGTTATTTGGTGGGGGCAACTCTCCAGCCTTTGCTATAGCAGCAGTTGCATCCTTCGCAAGTGGACTCGTAGCTATCTTGGCTATACCACGATCGAGGCCTTCTGATAAATCCAAAATCCGACATTGAACAAGAGGTATTATCAACCGTGTTATTTTTTGATCAACCCGAGTGAGTTATGTATGTTTTTCTTCTTGTTATTGTTATTGTTGTTGTATTATCTTTTTATATCAAGTCAACTGCAAACAAATCGTCCGAATTTTGTATATAACGACTTGTTACTTACAATAATATCTATCAATACTTTTTTTTTTTTTTTTTTTATTTATACAAAAATGACACTCGAAAGAACTTGAATTTATCCAACTTTTGAAGATGCTATTCATCTGCATGTGATTGCTTTTTTGAAAGCTTTAGGATCCATTCATGTCGTTCTTTAGATAGTTTATTCGGGCTTTTTTCTTCTTGTACTTTGTAACATTATTGTTCTACACTTCAATCGTGGCGGTGTTTTTGATGTTTGTACGTTTTGCCATGTCAGTAGAAGTCCCATCGACATTTCTCTCTTTTAGAGTTTTGCTTAATGTCGTGTTTTTGCCGAATAGAAAGTGAGTTGGTTTTTCAATCATTGAAAACCGACAAACGTAGATGGTACGTACAAAGATTCAGAAAAAGCCCGAAAAAGCCTGCGCCTAGCAAGCTCAAAGCCCAAGCCCAAGCCCAAAAGCCCGTTTCAGCTAGGTTTTTTTTCCCAAACGCCCAAAAAAACTCAAAAAAATTTAAGCCTTTTTTGACATACTGAAAACGGGTTTCTAAGGTCATGGCTTTGTACATTTCTATATGTTATGGGAGGGGTCGGATGGGAAAGCGACGACCTTCATGAGGCAAACATAGGTGTCGTGATTTACGTATAACGTGAAAACAACATTGCAAGCCTCTTTGGGGACATGATGATCTATTATTTGACCTATAATTGGTATTGTACATAGCTTATTATTACAACAAACGTGTATCAGAACAGAAGTGCTAAATGTTGTACGATAATACATGCAAAAAAGAAAATAGGATAAAACCAAAAAGCATTTTTGCTAAATGTTGATCAACAATAATTTCTACCTTTTCCATTTAAGAGATTCTTTACTTTCACTTATCTTAGTGCATTCTTAACTTATACATCTTAAATTTAAAAATGGTACACAATAAGATTATGTTTAATGTTACACTGCTGAAGGACTGTTCGGTTATGGCTTATTTATAAAAAATTGTACAACTTAATCTCACGATATTCATGTGAGAGGTAAGTCATGTCATGGTATCCAAGGATTAGTTGGTTGGCCCAGAAATCTTGTTATGGAAACTTCACCTTTCCACTGCAATAATTCAATGCAGACGAACCTTGAGGGCTGGATCAGCTGACAAATATATTAAGACTGGGCCTTGGGGGTCCTCATAGGTCGCGAGCTTCAGTCTTCTCAAAGTCATTGCGCATTTTCTTGTTTATTATCTTCAAGACTCCATGAGATTAGTCGAGATATGTACAGACTGTCTTGGACACTCATAAAGTACCCAAAAAAATCGACAGAGACAGACCGTTTCTCATCAGTCGAAAATTATATAAAATAACGTATTAATATGAATTTTATATACTAGTTAAGGAGGGGTTATTTGGTTGGTTTTTTATTAAATCCTGTATGGATAAAGATGTCTGTCTGGATTGATAAAGTTTTTATTTGGAAGAGTTTTTTTCATGGATGAAATGAGCGCATTTTTAACTGGGAGAGAGAGAGAGAGGTTTTGAAGAAAAAAAAACTTAATTTTCTGCATAAAACTCTCTTCTAGAAGCTTACTAAATAAACAACCGTCTATATCATTAAGTCATTACCAAACAGTCATGCATATCTAACCGAATAAACTGTAGAAGCTCTCAACAAAACAAACGGATCCCAAGTCAAATATATGCAAAAGAGAGCCAAAAAGAGTCGCGTGTATGTGTGAATCCAGTGCTACTGTATGCTACGGATGAGGAAAACAGTCTGTTTACTGTATTAAAACACTTATGACAAATTTGCCCCACACACAACCCTTTTTTTTTTAAAGGACTCTATAGGGTGTATTTTGTCATCTTCCCCATGTTATATAATTTGTAGACAAATTATAGAACTTAATCTAAAAATTAAATCAATTAAGTTTGTTCAAAAAATATTAAAATGCTTTTTCAAATATTAAAAAGGGCAGGTAATTAAGTCATTTTGACAGGTTCTTTTAGTTTTATCATCACATACCCGATTTGGTTAATTTGCAACATTACCTGTGAATTTTTTTTATCTTTAAATTATATACGATAAAACTCATGTACATTCATCAATTTTAGTGACACTTGAACCATTAACTTCCAAAAAAGTTGGATTATGTCAGTAACTTAGATATTATTGAATTGGTAACCCCGTGGTGTGATAAGTTTATTACCAACTATACATTTGATTCAATTGCATTATTTACAAGGGGTGTGTGACAGCCCTGAGCTCCTTGCATTGAGCCATAACAGAAAGATCCTTGATATTTAAACACTACAAGGCATGTGTATCTGAAACACATTATAATTTAAGAAAACATAAGATAACGAGACTCATTTTTCAATCAATCAACAGTAGTTACAAAAAAGATGTTAGTTATGAATTGTAACAAGTAATAGTGTCATACTGATTTGACAAATCAAATTACATAGTTTTGAATTAAATTTCACAATTATTATTTTTTTTCATATAAAAATCCGTACGTATGAACTATAACTTTAGTATTGGTTTATGGGTCTAGCTTGTTTACCTCTATTATACATTAATATAATTATTACTCTTAAATTTAAATTTATTGAGTGAACATAATGTTACCAACGAAAAATAAGAAAGTTCAATTAAATATCTGAGTGAATGCTATCAACGAGAAATAAGAAAGTTGGATTAAATATTTGAATGAGCTAAAAAATGCCTCTCACATTAGTACTTCTTAAAGACAAGTTTTATATAAGCTCGATTAAAATTATAGATAATCAATTTTTTGCCCAAATTTATAATTACAGAGAGTTTAAAACAAAATTTGTTATGTGACAAAAAACGTGCAAGTTAAAAGTGTACCCACATGGTCTTTTTGTTTTCATTGTTCCCCTTTATTCCAACCCCAAAAATCCCCATTTTGCATTAATAAATATAACAAATTTTGCCACCTTACATCATTTACAACCATACCCCTTTCATATCTAATTTCTTGCATGTTACTCCAATTTCCCCCTAAATTATGAGGGGTGAATTCGGTATAGGATCATTCATTATTATTTTTTTTTCTTGTTTTTAGTATTTTTTTTAAAGAAAGATGGATTATTTACGGCAGGAATCAAGTATAATGATTAAGAAAAAAAAAAGTAACTCTTTCTTTCTTTCAGCGGAGTTTAAGAAGAAATGAATTAATAAATGGAGAGGAGCCCGACAATGTACGAGCAATAATCTAGGTTCAAATTGTGCAACATCTTCTTCCATCAAAGGCACATGAAGAGAGACGAGATTGATGTGATAGTACACCAAAAATTAACTTTCTTTTTCAGCATCGATGGTATCTTTTTCTTTCTTCCCACCACCAAGACAAAGAGAGAGAAAGATTTATCATAAAGAGGGGGTTGATAGTCAACAAGAATGATTCCAAATGCTTTTCTTTCATCACCGTGAAGTTACATATCGCTTTAATTGGTGTATAAAAGATTATTGCTCGTGTTTTAGGCCTTATAAAAACTATACACATTTCAATTGTAATGTCATGTCGTGTCGTGTCGTGTAATAAATTAATAGAATATTTTCTTATGTAATGTACTAATCATGGATTGTTTTTCAAACTCCTAAACCAACCACCATACAATAATGACTTTAATTGATGTTGTAAAAGAGACCCCCTTTGATGAGTGCTAATAAAAATAAACTCCTTTTTTACCTGTAATTTGAACCTCTTTCTATAAGTTTTCTCATATATATATCAATTAAACCATTTAGGTCGAAAGCCGCAGTGCTAATACCTAACGCAATGAATCAGGCTATCAAATCTCCTTTTTTACATTTATAAAGCTTTGAATTGAGCTAAAGGTGCTCAAATAGCAGCATTAGATGAATATATTAAAGAAAATACCTACAAATTAATAATTCACTAAAGATGGGATATTATGAACTTGATTAGACATGATATCATAACAGATTCTTTGAAGATTTCAAGAAATCTTTATAATGGAGGACATATCTTTACCATGTTTTTTGGTTACCCTTTTCTGGAAGATGATATTCCCAAATCTAGAACAACACACAACTTCTATTGCATAATATACAAATTACTTTTAGCATCCCTGAAATATTCTATTTCTAGAAAATAATTATTTGTTTTCATAACAATTATGTTACAAAATAATGGTGTATTATCCATTCACTATTTATAGTAAGTTTGATTCGCATAAGCCAACACAAAAGACTTTCCAAATTATAGTAATCGAATTTATAGCCTCTCAATGAGCCGAAGGTTAAGGGCGTCCATAATAATATTAAAGGTATGATGATGATTGCATTGTTTGGTTTGTAGGGACGTTCCTAATGCATATTATTGTTATATATTCTTAGACTTGGGATCGAAAAAATATTATATAAGAAATTAAATGTGTTATACATAATTGATGATAATAATTGATGCATTCATCATTTACTACTTTTAATAAGTGTATGACATGACGTTAAGGTAACAAAGTTTTGTGAAGGTCTAGTGCCAGACTGATCATAAGGGTCATCCATTTATATTCGACTACAAAGATTTGAAAACGTCTATCGACCACCACTGTCCACCATCGGTAGCCCCATGCAATGATGTTCATAAGGCAAAGAAACACCACACCAAGGAGCTATCGGGGCATTAGAAACACTAGAAACAAAGACTTGTGGCTTTCAAAAGAGGCCAAAGGGTTGGCGGTACTCAAAAGGTGGGGGGACTCTTTCTCACATGGGTTTGTGAGGAATGTAACATTCATGCATGGTTGTCTTGCAACATGCCAACATCTAGATGGCCACCACTTCACTCCTACATGTCATATGCATATATATATATATATTCTTTGTTTAGTCATTTAGTTTAAAAAAATTAAATAAACATATATATATATATATATATATAGCTTTTATAAACGATCTATTTCTGGTGTTAAATAGTCTAGTCACTGTAAAATCTTATAAACCATTAAAATATTAGTTCGTCTCTTGCGGCCGGCGTTATGGAAGAAGTGTTATGGAAAACATCACAACCTTAGTAGGCAGCTGATTCATTTGGTTCTTGGATTTATTTGGTTCTTAATTGTTGTTAACCTTCCATAACTATTTGGTCTTATCCAATTTTTGGAAATAACCCTAGTTTTTGGCTCTCGAATATGAGGATATTGATACATTAAAAAACCAAAAGTAACATAATTTGTTATGTGACTAAGAAATTAGATTGTTCCTTCTTGTATTATCTCATATTCAGAATTTCGTGCAAATTAAAGCTATAGGAACAAAATATCTTATTCAGAAAGTGATATACATAATCCAAGCAACAATCCAAACAATTATGATTTCAAAAAACCACTCTATTGTTCATCTGCCCAACAAATAATATATACCATTTACTATATATATAAATCATTCATACACAATCACACATATTAGTTATTTAGAAAGTATTTTATATGCCTCATTCCTTCACAAAAATTATCGTAATATCAAAAAGTATCTTTATAAAACTTACATCATTTAAAAACACATTTGATTGGTCATCAAATATTAAAATAAAATTCTAACAAAATCAAATACTGATGCATGGACAGTTTTGCAACATCATTTTCTTGAAAAAAGAAAAACGTGGTACAATTTTAGTAAAATATCTTTAAAATAAATATCAATTTTTTATGAAATGAAGAATAAGTTTAGTTGGAAAATAAGTCACGAAATTATTCCAATTTTAGAAATTAAACCCCTGCTTCTCATTAAAAAAAATTTGAACAATATAATTGATTTATGTCGAACAATATAATTAATTTGTGGGGTTATTATCTTAACCGTGTTTTTCCAAATCAAGATATTTTTGGAATTGAATTAAATAAATTTTGAACATTAATTCCTTATCTGTGCAATCAAATTAATTAAGAAATGGTGTAGGTCCCGACCTTTTATGTATATATATATATATATATATACAAATCCCCTGTATATCCTCAATATCCCATTAGTTCAGCTCCATAATCCTCTCTCTTCCCCCCTCCCTTTTCTCTCTCTCTCTCTCTCTCTCTCTCTCTATATATATATATATATATGTATATATATATATCTAGCTGTGAACAAAACGAAACCAAGCACAAGCTGTTTACTGGTTGTACTTGCTCTACCACCTTACCACAAACCTCTCTTTTGTTACCTTTCTTTATTGTTTGTCTGTGTTTTTTCACACACAAACACATCCAACATTTTTATTTGTAGTTTTTAAGTTGATTCTTTAGTTCCCCATCTACCAAACAACAAGAATTTTGATCCATGTGTAAACCAACACAATCTTCTCCATCCAAAAGTGTCATTTCCAAGAATACCCTTTTCAAGAATCTCAACAATAATCCCCCAAAATCCATGGATGATGATCATCACCATCACCAACTTCATGGATGGCCATCCCCTTCTGAGGTAACAATCTTTTTCCCATAATTAAAACGCATGCATGGATCAACTTCACCAATATCCAATCTTTACATAGAAAAGGTTTGTTTTACCATTAAATCATCAATGACCATCTTCTAATTTTCCATGCAGTAACTAAAATATACCTAATTAAAGATTTCTTGAAAATGTATGGAATAAGTTGTACGAAACAACCCTCAATCTTTTAACGAATACTTGTGGAAAGATTTCATTTTGATGGGTTTTAACCAACCGCTTTTAAGGTAACAATCTTTTTCCATAACAAAAGTATACTTCAAGCTTTCTTGAAAATGCATGCCTGGATGGATTAAGTTGTACGGTACAACCAATTGATCGTAAAAGTTTCATTTTTTTACTGCTTCTTTGTTCTAGGCCTTGGAGGAAATCAAAGCCATTGGAAAGATTTCAGGACCAACGGCCATGACAGGCTTACTACTATACTCAAGGGCCATGATTTCCATGCTTTTCCTTGGCCATCTCGGTGAGCTTGAGCTAGCCGGAGGGTCTCTCTCCATCGGGTTCGCTAACATCACTGGCTACTCTGTCATCTCGGGCTTAGCCATGGGCATGGAACCCATTTGTGGTCAAGCTTACGGTGCGAAACAGATGAAACTTTTGGGTATAACTCTACAAAGAACAGTCCTCTTGCTCCTCTCGACTTCTCTCCCAATCTCTTTCATGTGGCTTAACATGAAGACAGTCTTGCTGTGGTGTGGCCAAGATGAAGATATCTCTGCCGCTGCTCAGGCTTTCATCGTTTTTGCCATTCCAGATCTCTTCGTGTTGTCCCTTCTCCATCCTCTTCGTGTTTATCTCCGGACTCAAAACATTACCCTGCCCTTAACTTGCTGCTCGGCGGTTTCTGTGCTTCTCCATGTCCCGTTGAATTTCTTACTGGTTGGGTACTTCAAGATGGGTGTTTCTGGGGTGGCGGTGGCGGCTGTGATCACTAATCTCAACTTGTTATTCCTCCTGGCCACCGTCGTCTACTTCTCCGGCGTCCATCGGGACTCATGGGTCTCGCCGAGCACAGACTGTCTCCGGGGTTGGTCGTCGTTGCTGGCACTCGCGATCCCCACGTGTGTGTCTGTGTGTCTGGAGTGGTGGTGGTATGAGCTCATGATAATGTTGTGCGGATTACTATCAAACCCTAGGGCAACCGTGGCATCAATGGGGATCCTCATTCAAACGACGTCGTTGGTATACGTTTTTCCCTCGGCATTAAGCCTTGGGGTATCGACTAGGGTTGGAAACGAACTCGGAGCAAACCGGCCGGCGAAGGCTCGTATCTCAATGATCGTCTCGCTCGTCTGTGCCGCCGGGATGGGTCTTATGGCAATGCTGTTCACTACATTGATGAGGCACCGGTGGGGGAGGTTTTTCACGGCGGACGCAGAGATTCTTGAGCTGACGTCGGTGGCATTGCCGATAGCTGGACTGTGTGAGCTAGGAAACTGCCCTCAGACCACGGGTTGCGGTGTTCTGAGAGGCAGTGCAAGGCCGACAGTGGGAGCCAATATTAATTTCGGATCATTTTATCTGGTGGGGATGCCGGTGGCTATAGTGATGGGGCTCGCCTTGAAAATGGGGTTCGCCGGACTCTGGCTGGGGTTGCTTGCAGCTCAGGGAACATGTGCTTTGCTTATGCTCTATATTCTTTGTACAACAGATTGGATTGTTCAAGTAGAAAGGGCCAAACAGCTTGCAAGACCATCATCCTCATCGTCATTATCTTGTCCGGTCAATCCGACCAGGAAGGATGAAGCTAACAACTCCATGGAAGCAAATCTTGAAGAAATTATACTAATATCTACCAGAAAAGAGGTTGAGATGGTGAAGGCCGACTGTTGTTTAATCGAAACACACCCTCTCATTAATTAGTTAATGGGCATTGATTATTACTGATTAAACTCAAATTTTCATTTTCTAGAGTAGATATATGCATGCATGCCTTCTTTAATTTGAAGATTGTATTTGACATTAATTAGTTAACTAATAATTGCTTAATCTTGATTAATGGGAACTATATATATATATATATATATATACACTTCATACTAAATCAGTTACTTCAATTCCTCCACACAAAATATTATTCATCAAACCTTTTTGAATGATCGATTAAACAACATATATATATATATATATATATGTTTGTGCAAACGGGCATTTAATTAATTTTACTGGGGCAATCCTCGAGTTGGCCTAAACCATCATGTAACAGCCAAGTTTATGTATGCATCATGCATGCAACGACTTGTTGCTTGGCTTAAGAACCCACAAATTAATTAATGTAGCTATCCACAAAAGGACTAACTCCAATTGGAAAGAAATTGAAATTGCTACTTGAACAATCAATTTGTGCAAGTATATATCGTCTTGGAACAAGTGTGCCTACAATAGTTGTAAAGTACGATTGTGAAATCGACTTTCATAAATATATATATATATATATATATATATTGATTTTATTTTATAAATTATCATTTTTCCTTTAATTACTTTTGAAACAAAATAAAGGAAATCTTTTGTATATATACACAACATGCACATATGGATCTCGAACAACAAAAATTATAATATTTGTTATAACGTTTGTATGTACTTTTTATTTATTTATATTTACTGGTATCTAGGTTGATTTATACATATTTCGACTCTTCATTAAGGCGATAAAAATTTGAAGTTAATTGTCATGGTTACGTATTTAATAAACCAATAAATTAATATATCCATGTCTACATGTAACATATAGTGGGTAGCTCAACAAAAATTAAATGGATACCCATTTCGCTTACATGTAGTTCAACACAACGATTAAACCATTTGTAGAGCATCTATATATTTTTTTAATGATGACAAAAAAGTTAATGGACCCAAGACTATCCCATTCAACACAACTTTTTCACATGTAAAGTATTTATATATTAAACTGGAATATATATATATATATATATATATATATATATATATGGAAAGGAAAATGGAAGGACTTAAATAAGAACATTTTCATTTTATGAGAATCGTATATACATTTTTTTACTATAGATAATCACATGTGATACTATATTCAATCATATGTGATACAAATATGATGCTAAATGACTAAATCGGAGATATGGACAATATCTATTACTTAAATGTGTAGTTATCATACCATTGAAAACAATAAATCACGAAGAACCTTACTTCATTACTTGGGCCAATAAACATGTAACTAATTTAGCATGAAATTTCATGAAGAAGTAGTGATGCATTTAATATGTCAAATTAAAATTTTTAGGAAATATTGATGCAATTTAGAGACAATTGGGTTCATAATTCTTTTGTAAAGCACTAGAAATTGTGTCATTGTGGAAAAATAAAACGATTGTTGTATATATATATAATATATTTTACAAACAATTAAATCATGGTAAATGATATGTTGATTTTCTTTTAAATAATATTGCATGAGTGAAAGTCTATTTATCATTTATCTAAATTTGATTAACTTATATTACAGAAATCATGGCTTCTAACTATATATGATTTCCTAATAAATCATAGGCAATTTAGGAAACAACTTTTTTGTCTCTTGAAGCATAGAAAATGTATGCATATATCTTACCATGCAAACTCTATTTTCAGGTGTGATATACTGTGTTTGTTTTGTTTAAGAATATAACATGATAAAAATGGCTATATTGAGTGTTTAATTTTGCTATGACATTAAGAAATAGAGATATTTAGTTGTGCGAGAATAGTTAAGTTTGATTTTTCAAGTATATGATGTCTCTTTTCTTTCTCTATATTTTGCTCCGATTTTGATAATACATGTTCAAAATTCGTTTTCATCCATTGGTTGTTGGCACTTAGTCCATGTTCTAGAGGGCCCTTTTCGCCTTTTTTATTCTCTTGTCATTTCCTTTTTGATGTCATCATGCATGGCATCCTTATCTTTGTTCACTTTCCTTGTCGTGTAGAGTATTTTCCCTTATCTTAGTTGTCAATCTTTTCTCGAACTCCTCTTTCCTTTTTACCAATGCTGACCCTTTTAGCCTTGGCCTTTAATGATTTTCACTACTTCACCTCCTCTTTCAAGTCCTTGTGTTGTCATCTCATCTATCTAGTTCTTGGAGCCTCAAGATCCGAGTGCTTCTAAGACTGTCACTGTTTTCCTGCTAGCTTGGTTGCCCCACCTAGCCTTGCTAGATCTAACCCTAGCCCCTTTTCACCTATTTTCTCCCGTCAAGAAAACATGGTTTCGCCTCTACCTCCATACATTTTGTTCACATGCGTACATCATGATACTTCAGACGATGGATCATTGAACAACTTAGCATTCATTTATATATTGTTTTTCATAGAGCAGTTTAATTTTTTATTCTTGAACGATTATACTTGTTGTTTTAATTTCCAAGTGTTATTATTTTTATTTTTTTTATTAGATACTGAGGATAAAATTCAAGATAAAGAAGATTTGATGTTAATTTCTCTTTTGACTGCTTTTATTTTTATGTTGTGTGATACTTTTTTATAGCATGACTTATGATTTTTCCTTTGATTGAATCGTGTCTATGTGTCTTTGTCTAAAAGAAATGAAGTTTTATTTTAAGTTTATCAAGTTGCATGATATATGCTAATTCCAAATAAGGCCATAATATTGTCTACCAAAATTGGAGAAACATTAATGCATTATTTAATAATATGCTCATTGCCCTGGGATCACTCCTTTTCATACCCTACCCACCTTTCTTTGTGTTTTATACTTTCTCAAGTATAAATATAAATATATATATATATATATAT